CAGGGCATCTAGGTGACATGCCGTCTCTGTGGTCAGCGTGACTGTGTGGTCAGCCCTGGTTCCACTGTACATGCAAAAGGCAGGAGCAGGGGCTGCCGGCCTGGCTGGGAAAGGGGGTCTTGCAGCGGGGCTCGCAGGGGTTGCCCAGGGCTTCCGGGCGGGACTAGGTGGTGCTCCTGCTTGGTCTGTGCTGGAACCGTCCACTGGGGCAGGGCCCAGGGCCATGGTGGGACCTCATTATGCCCATCATGGGGGGCTGCTGGCCCTTGGTCACAGTGGCCTCCTGGGCTGCAGGGGGTGGCATCTTCCTGCAGGGCCCGCGCTTCGGTGCCTCAGCCTCGTGTGATGGCGGCCGCGGGGAGGCGAGGGCTCTCTGTCTGGAGTGGTGCCGACACTGAGACCAGCTTCCTGCCCCGCACCGCTGAGCTGACCTTCCAGACGGCTCCTGCCTGAACCATTCTGACCCTCGCCCTTGGCGGGGGGACAAGGCTCTGCCTGTTACCACTGTCACCTGGTGGCCAGGGCCTCCTGATGCTGGAGGCTTCCAGGCTGATGTTGTCACTGGCACGTCACACAGGTCTGAGGAACAGCCGATATGGTGACTCCTGTCCCTGGGCTCCAGGCCAGCTCAGCTACGGGGACCAGGGGGTGGCACAGGCGACATCTATTGTAAGGGGCCAAGGCCTCAGTTCATGGGCCTCTTCCTCAGGCCTCGTTCTAAGCCTCTCCCAGGGTCGTGGGCTCCTGGCTGACCTGCAAGGCAGCAGCCCCTCCGGCCCTGCCTGTCCATGGCCTGGGAGAGAGAGGAGGGGCAGAGGCCAGAGGGGTAGAGGCCAGAGGGGTAGAGGCCACGGGGCCGGCCTGGCTCCCGTAGACCCCACCCCCACCCCCCCTGGGTCTCCCTGATTTCCGAGGTCAGATGTCACTGCCAGAGCAGTGACAGACCCTTGGGGGTGCTGTAGTGCCTGTGTTCGGCACTGTCATCTTGCCACACCATGTCCCTGCCCGGAACTCCAGCCTAGCCTTCCCTGGGGCCTCAGGTCCCCCACCCAGGAGGTGAGCCCAGCAGCCACCTCGGCAGAGCAGTGCCGGGGGCTGTGGCCGCAGCCCGTGTGCTGGCTGTGCGTGCTGACGGATGGCCCGGGCGCAGGCCCTTGTCCCCGAGACAGTCTGCGTTCCTCTTCCTGACACACTCATTTAATTTTTAACTCACAAGGCATTTGCTTATTTATTTTCATTGTTCTTGATAATAATTCTAAGCCATTAGAGGGGAAAATTATATTCAAAAATGCTGTTTCACACTTTATTTGTTTGATGATTTAGAGCGATAGAAAATAGCACATTTGCTGGCTTTTATAGTCTGATAATTATTCACATCCATCAAGCCATTCCAGGGGGGTAAACAAAACACCAAGAAAATTACACTATTAATAGCCGCCACCTCGCGCGGGAAGCCTCTTCCCGGCTGGCTGGCACCGAGGCGGCTCCGAGGCGGTGGCCGCCCAGCTCGGCCAGGGCAGTACGGCCTTGGAGACGCAGGGGGCCTCTCCTTCCCTGGCCTGGGCTCACTCACTGAGCTGCTCAGCCACCGGCCAAAGAGCTACCGCTGAGCCCCAGCCTCCGACGCTCTGAACCCTGGGCTCCCCCATCAGCTCCGGGGACTCCTCAGGGGCCACATGGGCAGAAGCTTCTGCACTGCCAAGGCCATGTGCGTGGTGTCTGAGGTGGCTTTGCGGCCAGCCCGGCCTTGGCCTGCTCTCACATGGCCCTAGAGCCTGCCGTGGTCCCTGGCCTCACAGAGCCACCCTGCCCGTCGTCCTCCCTGGGACATGGCTCGTGCTCTCCAGCCGGGGTCCCTGCGTTGCCTCCTTAGGGTGGCCGTCGCTGGGGGGACACTGTTGACCCCCCACAGTAGTCACTGAGGTGGGGGAGAGGCCAGGAAAGGCTGCCAGCCAGTGACCACCCACCTTCCTCGGGCATCCATCTTGGATCTTCCAGGCTCAGGAAGTTGCTTCCTTCTGGAACCTTCCTTCTAGAACTAATCCTTTTGCCGCTACCAGTGTGTTTCCCTGTGGCCTTTGGAACTGTTAACCTGCCAGGCCATGTTTGTCCCCACTGTTCTGAGGGTTCCCAGTTGGAGAGCAGCCACTTCTGGGCCCGTCTCTTCCTACATGCCTCACGCCTGACACCACTCCAAGAAGGTTTCCGAAGAGGCACGAGCCATGCCGTCCCTGGGGTGCCTCCGGGGCCATGCCACACCACCTAGTGCTGTGGAGCTTGCTGCGTCTCCCAGGCCACCGCAGGTCACCTGGGGTGGTTGCCAGAGACGGCTCGCGGTGCAGAGTGGCTGGAGAGGCAGAGCTGATGGCTCGCGGGTCTCACTGGCACCCTCCAAGAGTGCTCCGCATGGGGACTGAGTCGGTGGGGGAGGGACAGCCGCCAGGGGGGATGACTCCAGAGACAGTCCCCCACAGCCCAGGACAGCCCACTCCGGCCTTGCTGAGCCCGGCTTGCCGGAGACTCCATCACACCCGGGGCTCGGGCCCAGGGATAGGCCCCAGAAGGTGCCTGGAGGGAGGAGCACGTGGGCCCGTGGGGTCCAGAAGGTTGTGGCCTCCTGGGCTCTGGAGGTGAGAGGAGGCCAGCCCTGGAGGGGGCAGAGGAGCCAGGGGACACAGGATGCATGGGGCTGAGGTGCTGCTGGTGGAGAGGGAGGGAGAGGGGCCGGGCTCTGCCGGACGGACACGGGGAGAGGCCGCAGCAACTGCGCGGACAGGAAGGAGGACAGGAAGCAGGTTGCAGGCGCAAGCAGCTCCTGTCCAGGGCCGAGCTGGCAGGTCCCTAGGAGGTGTGGAGGGATCTGGAGGCCACCTGCCCCAGAAAATGTGCAGGAGCCCTGTGCTGCACAGCTGGGCTGCTGCATGCAGAGGAGCCACCAGGGGTCACTGGCAGGCAGAGAGGTCGGTTTAGGTCATGGAGTTTGACCTTGTGATGGGGACTGAGCTCCCAGGGAGCGAGGCAAACTGCCTCCCTGCCTCGGTGACCAATGAAAACAGCTTTGTCTCACAGCCGGGAAATGGCTTGCTAATACCAGACAGACGCTGCTTCTGCCTCGAGGGTTAGCCAACAAACATTTTCAACCCAAATACGCACTTTTCCTGTTTCTCCTCCTCCAGAGCCAGATCTGAGTCTAGGGATGCCCCAGCGTGGTGCCAGGCATGGGCTGTGGTGACAGTGGCAGTGCTGTGCTCTCGGGGGAGGGGCCTGCCAAGGTTCTGCACTAGAGTCCCCAAAGGGTCCCTGGGGCCTTCCCCTGCACACTGACGAGACTAGCTCTGGCTGCCCTTCCTCGCCACCCTCACTCTCCTCCCTCCTGTGTGATCTGCCCTGGCCACCTGGGCCCTTGTCACCCTGGGCTCCCAGGGCAACAGGCAGCTACCTGGAGCTGCCCCCGATTCTGAAGGCAAGTGGCACTTGGGACACTGGGCCTCCCATGTCTGCGGAGCCTTCTCGGCCAGGCGGTGCTCGGTGCATGTGTCCCTGAGGACCCAAGCCCTTGGCCCCGGCTGCTGCCAGGCCCTGGGAGGTGGTGGGAGTGCGCGGGCTCCGGGCCTCGAGGCTGCGAGCTTCCCGCCCAGGAGCTGCGCGTCTCCAGGGGCTGCTTTCCCAGCACTGGCCAGCGTCCCACAGTCTGGGCTTCCCGATAACAGAGGAGCCGCGTGCCCATGTATTAAACTTTTAACATCCTCCAGATTCAATTAATCTTATCTTTACAACTCCCAATTACAGGCGGTAATTAAGTGAAAGCTGCATTGTGGCTGGGGTACTGCATTCATCATCCCGCCTCGAAGCCATAAATTAGTTCCTTCCCGTCCTCGTCCTCGCTCTTCCCAGAAGGCACAGGGCACGTCCTTTCCTGGGTGGGGGTGGAGGCACCAGTCCCAAAAAAGTGCTTTGGGTTGGGATTAACTTATCATCTCCACCTACCTGATAAAGGGCCCTTTAGGAAGGAATGACCTCGAGGATGTCCAGACAGTGATAATTTCTGAACAATGGAGTGTAGGTGCCTGGGTTGCCTCAGGCAGGGGCCCTGGAATGTGCCCAGGAATTAATTTTCATATCCCATTTAGATTAGAGAGACTGTTCCCTCCTCTCCTGCCCCCACCCCTTTTAATCTTATTAGGAAAGAACTTCTCGATTGGTTGGAATGGCCTCGGCCGCTGGGGCTCTGGGGCCAGAGGCCAAGGCCTGCTGCTCCCCCTCCTGCCCAGCTCCCCGGAGATGCTTGCAGCCTTACTCTAGAGGGGTCTCTAAGCCTGGCGCCATCCTTGGGGTGGCGTCCCGGGTGCTGCAGCGTCCTGGCCTCCACCCACTCCATGCCAGGACACAGATGTCCCAAGGCACCCCCAGTGGTGGGCAGTGGTCTGCGAGGCCGTGGCGTGGGCTGGGCCGGGCCGGCTGTGCAGCTCGCCCCCTGCCATGCTGAGGCTGCCGCACCGTCCCTGGCGGCCTCACCAGCTCGCACACATGGCGTCGGTGGCACGGGGCCCATGGCATCTGTCGGCAAACTTTCTCTTACATCTTTCTTACTGATGATGGCGCCTCAGTCCTCTCTCAGACGTGAGTGTGTGAAGGAAAGCGTGCGAGGTGGTGAGAGTGAGGCCTTCCTTCTGGAAGCTTCTTCCCTGTTGGTCCCCGGCCCGGGAACCGTAGAGACCAGCAGAGGCGCTTCCTGCTGAGCTCTGAGCACAGCACACCCACTGCAGCCCCAGTCCAGCTCTGTCTTTGCTACTCTGTCCTCAGCAGGGTGTAGTGTCACTTAGCTGGGGATGTCCCCTCCTGGCCCTTGCCTCTGCTGTCGCAGCCTGGGCCTGGGGTTCTGCCTTTGCTCCCTCCTCCGGCTGCTCCTCGCCCCGCCCTGTGGGGTCCCCCCCCACCTCCATGTGCCCACCGTCTGCCACGTCTCTGCTGGCCTCTGACCTGCCTCCCTTCTCTCGTAGGTATGCCATCCCGCCGGAGCACGGCAAGCGCCTGGAGCGGCTGGCCATCGGTAGGTGTCTGCGCCCGCAGGGTGCAGGGTGGACTGGGCCGACAGGTGGGCCGGGGAGTGGCGGCTGTGGGTTCTGGTTGGGGACAACCATGTGCTTCAGGACACTGCTGTCCTGTTCCCCGATCCGCATCCCACCGTGTGGTCCCCGTGTCTGTTGTACCTGAGGTCCCGGCCTGGCCGCGCTCCTGCGGGCTGGGAGGGCGGCGTGTTCTGTGGCCTCACGGAGCCTGCGCCTCGCCTGCTCTCTAGTTGCGAGTCTGGTTGGGTGGCCGCCCCTGGCCTGTGCAGTGCTGCCAGGCCGTGCGCCATGTCGTCCTGGGGCCAGCAGTGCTGGGCTCCCTCTGCGGATGTCCTTATCGCCCCCCCCCCCGCACTCATACCCTCTCAGGGGACTCGGAGCCAGAGCACTTGTCTGAGGGGTTCCTGGCTCGGGGTGCCAGGCTGGCTCAGCACCAAGGCCCGCGGCCCTGCCGCCCAGGAGCCTGGTCCCCCAGGAGCTCCTGCCGCGGGCCCCTCTCCTGCCCAACGGCAGCCCAAGCTGTCTGCTGTGGCGTGGCTCCTCAGAGCCTGGACCGCCAGTCTTACCCCTGCCTGCTGGGCCACGGAGCTGGCACCCCCCATGTGTCTGCAAGTGGCAGGTTCTGGAGGCCGGGATGTCAAGGTCAGGGCCCCAGCAGAGCTGGCGCCTGGTGAGGGCTGCCCCTCGCAGGCGGTCCCTGTGCGTGTCCTCTGTGGCAGGGGCTCCCTCCCTTCCATGAGACCTGAGCACCACCCTTTGTGCTGCCCACTCGGGTGGGAGTTCCGGCCCCAGGTGCAGCGAGCCCAGCTGCTGCAGCCACCTCTCTCGGGTCCTGCCCTGTTGAGCACCCGCCTCAGCACAGCCGCCAACTCTGTGCTGGCCCAGCAGGTGGCCTTGGGGCCACGTGGGAGCAACCTGGGGCATAGGAGAGTGAGGGACAGTGAGAACCCTCCGCTCTGGGAGCTGCCTGGACACCACGAGGGCCCTCAGCGCCTCAGCTCCCTGACCCCCGCTGCTGCCCTCTGTCCCCTCTCTCCTTTGGCACAAAGACACCCTGCACCTGCCGTCTCCTGCTCCCACTGGCTTTGGGCGTCAGAGGAGCAGCCGGTCTTCCCCAGTAGCGGGCGCCCTGTCCTGGAGGTGGCACGCATGGCACGCGGCGTTTGTTGACCTTGGGAGATGCACTTGAGAGGCAGGGGCTTGCTGGGGCAGGTGGGCCAGGTGCCCTCCCCGGAGCGGCTGCCTGGCGTCCTGTAGGCACCTGGACCTCCCTGGGGATGGCCACACCTGGTCCCAGCAGCGTGTACCTCTCGCTGGCCTCTGCAGTGACGCCCAGCCACAGCAGAGGGCCAGCCACTGGGCATTCCAGGGCTGTGACAGAGGACAAAGAAGACGATCTTGCCGTTGCATTTTTAGCAAGATGTCATTCAGGGCATCCGGTGTGTCCCCGTGGCGTGGGTCTCCTCTTGTGCTGCTGCTCGCTGGCCTCAAAGAGCTCAGCTCCCAGCTCTGGAGGTTGTAGCCTTTGGTCCAGGGGAGGCAGGCTGGGCCTCCTGAGGCCCCGGGGACAGTCCAAGGCCCCCTCCTCCAGCTCCAGAGCCGGCACGCGGCATGAGGACCCCGGGGTCTCCCTGTGGGCTCACAGAGGGAAGGACCTAAGTGGCGAGCTCAGGCACTGTGGTGACCAGGTCTCCTCGCCCCTGGCCCTGCCCACAGCTTCTCTCCTCTGCGTCTGGATCACATCTAGACCAGTCGCGGTGCCCCAGCTCCTCTCTGGCTGCCTTTTGTGTTAGAGAGCTGCAGGCCGACCGGGCAAGCGGGGACAAGAGGGTCCCATGGTGTGGGCAGTCTTGGTAGGCACACGCCCTTCCCACTCTCCGCAGCCAAGCCGCGACCTGGGGCAGGCTGTGTGTCCTGTACAGGGCTGGGCAGGGCCTGTGGGGAGCCAAGGCCGCTCCGTGGGGGCTCCCTAGATGGCCCTTGAAGAGGGGAGGCTCAGCTGCCCGGAACTCGGAGCAGGCCTGGCCAGGGAGGGTCGGAGACAAGGAGCACAGGCCTGTCAGATGCCAGCGTCTCCTGGCTGCCTGGCTTGGGACTCTGCCAGGGTCCTGGGCTGTGTCACGGGCTCGGTGGTGGAGGGGGTGAGGTGGGTGTGCGAGTAATCTGGAGAACGAGGGCCTGGCTCTGCGGGGAGGGCCGGGGGAGCGCTGGGGGGCCGGAGAGAGCATTAATGCTCGGCGCATTACTGGTGCTAATCACTTAAAATGTGCGCCTTTATTAGAGCTTTAATGAGCGCCACTTAAAGCGCACATTAAAAAGAGGAACGGCGGGCGGCCACAGCAGTGGCAGGCAGCAGTGGCAAGGCAGTCGTAATTCTCATTAAAATGCTCCTGGCGAGGAGGAGGGGCTGGTCCAGGGAGCTCACACCTTCCAGAACTGCCATTGTGTCAGTGCAGGTGTGGTGACGAGCCTCTGCCAGCGCCAGGGTCTCCTCTGACCATCTACCCCGGGTGTGTGCTGGCCAAGAGACCAGGGTCCCAGGTCCAGGCTGGGATGGCTGCAGGTCCATCCTGGAGGCAGTGGACACCCGTGGGCTGTGCCTGCCACCGCCATGACCTCCTCCCTTCCTGCCCTTTGATCTGAATGGCGCCTGGTCTCCCCTCGTGGGGACAGTGGCTGGGATGGACCGACCCCTGGGATGAGGGACTGGCTTTGGCCTCCCTCCCTGCCCCCCCACTCTGCCCACCTCCTTGGCCTCTTCATCCTCCATTTGTCAGGAGCAGAGCAGGAAGTGCCTGAGCACAGAGAGGCCTGTCCCCCGTGCTGCCCACCCTGGCTCGGGGCTGCGTGCCGGCTCTAGGAAGTGTGCCGAGCCCACGAGAGAGCTGGCCTTCCTTGGTGCTGTCCCTCCTGCAGCGGGGACTGTGTGCTCCACCTGAGGCGTGGGGCCAGCTGGGCCATGGCCAGGACCTGCTGTCTGGAGGCCCGGGACTCCCTTTCCCTGAGCCACAGTGCAGGTGTGGTGACGAGCCTCGGCCAGAGGGGACCTGGAGTCTCTGGGAAGCGGTCGGGAGCGTCTGGTGCCCGTGGGGCCATGCTGGGTCCTGACTGAACGTGGCCTTGGTCAGCTAGGGGTCTGCTGGGGCAGGAAGCCTCCGAGCGGGAGCTAGATCGCCCCCTTTCTGTGGCGGGAGAGTGAGGCGGGTGGCTATGAGCTCCCCTCTCCCTGGGTCTGGGGGCTGAGGGTGGCTCTGTCTGGTTCCCTCGCCTGCTCGGCAGGGAGCTGTGGGCCGGGCCAGGGCTCTCAGGACCCCGTGTGCCCCAGGGTCTCCGGGGGCCGGATCGGGCTGGTTGCTGGAGGAAGCCTGTGAGCGCTGCTCCGTCACCCGGGCCTTGCCTGGCTCTGCAGTACTGGGGGGTGGACATACCCGTTTTGCCCTCTGGCTGCACTCACAGGTGACAATGGCTCAGCAGATTGCATCCAGGAAGAGCCCCACGTGTGGGACCCAGTGTGTGCCGGGCCACACCTGTCACATGAGTGCCTCTGTCCTGCCCTCTGGGCTGTCCCTGTGGGTCTGCTGCCCACAGGGCCCCTGCATCCCCTCAGCAGAGCCCCGGGCCTCGTGTGGGTCCTGCAGCTGTGGCCCTGGGCCCTGTGGCCTGACCGTGGCCTCTCAGCTCAGCACGCTCCCCCGGCCCCGCTCACCCTGGTCTCTCCCGCCCAGGATTCTTCCCCGGGAGCTCTCAGGGCTGCGACGCCTTCCTGCGGCACAAGATGACGCTCATCTCGCCCATCATCCTGAAGAAGTACGGCATCCCCTTCAGCCGGGTGCGTATGGGCTGGCAGGCGCCCGCGGGGGGAGCGGCCAGGGCCTAGATCCAGTGGCCACAAATGGCCAAGGAGACAGGATCTTGACCCAGAGAAGGTGGAGGGGAGGCAAGTTGTCCTTGAGGTTGACCTCCAAGCCCTGCTGGTGGTGAGGTGGGGGGGTTGTGAACCAAGTGAGGTCCCCAGTGTGGCCCCCTGGCCCCTTAGCAGGGCTACAGGGGGTCAGGTGCAAAAAGGGAAAGGTGGGACCTGCTACAGAGGACCCGGGGCAGACCCCTCCCAGCCTCAGGTGCCTTTTCTCAGGCTGCACCTTGTCTGGGCCCCATAGAGTGGCCGCCTCAGCCCACCTTGGAGAGGATGCACACAGGCTTAGAGATGAAAGGGCTGGCTCCCTGCAGCCTGTGCTCTGAGGCTGTCACATCCTCGCAGAGGGCTGAGGGACGAGGTGTCAGGCAGACTGTGGTCTGCAGGAGGTAGTGGGTGATGAGAGAGCAGCTCTCTAGGCACCCAGACGACAGACCCCTCAGTCAGGCCTGGGAGCCCTGTGTCCCCAGGGGAGCATGCATTGCACCTGGCCTGAAGGTCCAGCTAATGGGCATTCAGGACCGGCCTCTGTGGGCAGGAAAGTCCCCAGGTCATCCAGGTGGGAGGCTGGAGCCTTCCAAG